AAGATCTGTATTTTTTAATAAGTAGTTTCTTGTGTGACCAATCTGAACCACAATGAAATCAAGGTTTCATTCACAGACCCAAATTCATTTAATTGTTTTAAAGGAGCCCCAGAATTGTAAAGTTTAATAAGCTCTGGCCAAACTACAATTTGATGGCCCAAAGAAAAGAAAAACCAGAAAATCCAGTTGCCTCTTGAAAAAAAAAAACTTTTGGGACAACCATGACCTGGATGACTGAAAAATCTCCATTTAGACATTTTATTTATTTTTTACTTATTTGGTTTGATTTATATGCTGCCCTTCTCCGGAGACTCAGGGCGGCTTACAATGCGTTAAGCAATAGCCTTCATACTTTTGTATATACCTGCTTAGTAGGGCTTTCACCCCCCCCCCCCAAGCGGTGTTCTTTTTTTATACAAAGTCAGCTTATTGCCCCCACAATCCGAGTCCTCATTTTACCTACCTCGGAAGGATGGAAGGCTGAGTCTTTGAGCCTGGTGAGATTTGAACTTGCAGTAATTGCAGGCAGCTGGTGCTACTTAACAGTGCTTTAGTCTGCTGCGCCACCAAGGCTCCTTTGGGACATATTGTCCCAAAGCTAAATATTGTCAGCAGTATATTTGGAAAGGAAAGATTGTCTACTCATTTCCATGATTAGACAATCTGTGACTTGTTGGGTTATCGTTAGAGTTATATTTCCTTGTATAAACATATATTTCCTATATAAACATATAAACAGAGATATTTCCTTGTCTGGTTTGGCTCTGCAACCCAACAAGACAGACAGAGACTTCAGAGGATAATTAGAACTGCAGAAAACACAATGGCTACCAACCTGCCTTCCATTGAGGACCTGTCTACTCCATGAGTCAAAAAGAGGGCTGGGAAAATATTTACAGACCCCTCCTGGACATAAACTGTTTCAACTCCTACCCTCAAAACGAGGCTATAGAGCACTGCACACCAGAACAACTAGACACAAGGAAAGTTTTTTTCCCAAACGCCATCACTCTGCTAAACAAATAATTCCCACAACACTATGAAACTATTTACTAAGACTGTGTTACTATTATTCTTCTCATCCTTCCTATTACCTATCTCCTTCTACTTATGGCTATAACCTTGTTGCTTGTATCTTTACGATTTATATCGTTTTATTTAGTTTCCCACGTAGTATGATTTTGATTGCTTATTTAGTATCCTATGACTATCACTAAGTGTTGTATCTTATGATACTTGATGAATGTATTTTTTTCTTTTTATGTACACTGAGAGCCTATGCACCAAAGACAAATTCCTTGTGTGTCCAATCACACTTGGCCAATAAATATTCTATTCTATTCTATTCTATTCTATTCTATTCTATTCTATTCTATTCTATTCTATTCTATTCTGAGAAAAAAATGACAGGCAAACAAGCAGGAGTGGCTTCTGACTTCCTGCTGGCTTCCCCATTGATTTTCCTGAGCTGTGGTGGCGCAATGGTTAGAGTGCAGTACTGCAGGCTCCTTCTGCTGACTGCCGGCTGCCTGAAATTTGGCAGTTCAAATCTCACCGGGCTCAAGCTTGACTCAGCCTTCCATCCTTCCGAGGTGGGTAAAATGAGGACCCAGATTGTTGGGGGCAAGAGGCTGACTCTGAAAACTGCTTAGAGAGGGCTGGAAAGCACTGTAAAGCGGTAGATAAGTCTTAAGTGCTGGTCATTAAGACCAGCTGTCTGCAATTAAAGTAAGTTCGAATCTTGCCAGGCTCAAGGTTGACTCAGCCTTCCATCCTTTCTAAGGTAGGTAAATTGAGGACCCAGTTGTGGGGGCAATAAGCTGACTTTGTATAAAATATACAAAAGTATGAAGGCTATTGCTTAATGCATTGTAAGCTGCCCTGAGTCTCCGGAGAAGAGCGGCATATAAATCATTTTTTTTTAAAAAAAAAGTACTATTGCTATTGTCCTTCCTTCCTTCCTTCCTTCCTTCCTTCCTTCCTTCCTTCCTTCCTGTTGCCAAATTTCAATCCTATTGAGATCATGGTTGGTCCCCAATTTTGGGTGCATTCTGCAAGTTAGCCCATATGTTAATTTCAAAATAGTTGCACTAAGATGCACCGTTTCACCCAATGCAAAGTTACAAACAATCCAACAGGCACGTAGCATACAGATAGATTTGTTCGTTTCATGAATTATTTTGAGTACATGCAGAAGCCAATGCGAAAACACTCTCTGAATTCCATGATAGCACGGCGGATGAAGGTTATCATTGAGACTCATATTATATTACCATGCTTTTCTGAATAAGCAAAAATATGGCAGTATTCACATTACACCAAAACAAACCACAACAGCTGGGGTCACTCAATCATATTCCAGTTTCTCTGCGCGGTTAACTTACAATTACAGCATTATGGAAATCCAAAATTTAAAAAAAAAAAAGGATTGAGCTAATCACTGTTCAATTATCTATGCACAGGTAAGCACATTACAGGACGGGGGGAAAAAATTCTCATATTGCAAGTAAAATATTCCTTAGGAGTTCCAGATTGGATATAGCCTTATCTTTTCATAAGATCATCCCTGTTTGTGGCTATTATTTTGCAGTTTAATTAAGTGCTACCTAAAGAACTCACAGATAATTTTCTTTCCCGTCTCATAGACTCATTGCTGTGAGGTAGTCCTCAATTTACAATCACAACTGAGCCCAAAATTTATGCTGCTGAGTGAGACAGTTTTTAAGTGAATTTTGCCACATTTTACAACCTGTCTTCAACAGAGTAACAGAGTTGGAAGGGACCTTGGAGGTCATCTAGTCCAACCCCCCACCCAAGTAGGAGACCTTACATCTTTTTGACAAATGGCAGTCCAATCTTTTCTTCAAAGCTTCCAGTGATGAAGCTCCCACAACTTCCGAAGGCAACTTCTGTTCCATGGGTTGATTGTTCTCACGGTCAGAAAATTTCTCCTTATTTCCGGGTTGAATCTCTCCTTGGTCAGTTTCCATCCATTCTTCCTTGTCTGACCTTCAAAGGTGCTTTAGAAAATAGCTGGACCCCCTTCCTCCTCTCTGGGGCAGCCCCTCAAATACTGGAAGATGCTCTCCTGTCTCCCCTGGTCCTTCTCTTCACCTGTCTTGCCACAGTTGTTAATTGAATTATTGCAGCTGTTAAATTAGTAATCCGGTTGTTAAGTGAATCTGGCTTCCCCATGGACTTTGTTAGGTCACAAAAGGGGCACTGCAACCGTCATAAATACGAGCCCATTGCCAAGCCTCCAAATTTTCATCAGATGGCCCTGAGGAATGCTGCTACGGTCGTTAAATGTGAAAAACGGTCACAAGTCACTTTTTCCGGTGGACGGTTGTAACTTCGGTCACTAAATGAACTGTTGTAAGTGGAGAACGATCTGTATTCTGCTGCCTAGAGCTGATGACTTGAGGTCGGCAGTTGAAGCTCCCCGTTTCGTTCCACGCAATTTCTGGAATATGTATTGATTTTTGCCGCTGTCTTCTCTAGACGTTAGTATCCGAATATAGATCTTTTTAACATTCATATTTTATTGTGTTTACTCATCTAGGTGAAATATATTAATATACATTGCCTGTTTGTGTATGATATGCCTTACGCCAAATAAATTAATTCACCGGCGTAGTTGCTATATGCCTAAGTAGCAAAAGAGCAAGCAGATATTCTAACTATCTCTTGCAGAGTCATCCTCGTTTCCCAGGATGGGAAATGATTTATGTCTGGCTCAGGAATTCTGGGAGTTGAAGTCCACAAGTCATAAAGGGGGCCCATCGTTCCCCACCGCTGCTCATAGCTTAACAGAGTTGGAAGGGACCTTGTAGGTCATCTAGTCCAACCCCCTGCCATTTAGAAGTCTCTTTGATTCTTGTTTATATCATTCTTTTTCAATTATACTGCAGATTTAAGCTAGTGGGATTGGAACCCCTTTGGCTGGGGAGGATGGATGATGCAGATGGACTGCCCGAGAAGAGTCCTGTGGGATCGGCTGGGGAGGATGGGTAATGCAGCTACATGCCTAGAAGAGCCATGTGGGATCGGCTGGGGAGGATGGGTGATGCAGCAGGATGTCCTGAGAGCAGCGTCATGGGACTGGCTGGGGAGGATGGGTACTGCAGCTGCATGCCCCAAGAGCAGCCCCATAGGACCGGCTGGGGAGGATGGGTACTGCAACTGGAAGCCTACAAGAGCCATGTGGGATCGGCTGGGGAGGATGGGTACTGCAGCTGGATGCCCCAAGAGCAGCCTTGTGGGATCGGCTGGGGAAGATGGGTGGTATAGATGGATGCCCCAAGAGCAGCCCCATAACACGGGCTGGGGAGGATGGGTCCTGCAGCTGGAAGCCTAGAAGAGCCTTGTGGGACCGGCTGGGGAGGATGGGTCCTGCAGCTGGATGCCCTGAGAGCAGCCCCATAGAACGGGCTGGGGAGGATGGGTCCTGCAGCTGGAAGCCTAGAAGAGCCTTGTGGGACCGGCTGGGGAGGATGGGTCCTGCAGCTGGATGCCCTGAGAGCAGCCCCATAGAACGGGCTGGGGAGGATGGGTCCTGCAGCTGGAAGCCTAGAAGAGCCTTGTGGGACCGGCTGGGGAGGATGGGTGATGCAGCCGGACTGCCACCTGAGGACGGAGCACCGGGGCTCCAGCGGGCGGCGCTCCTCCTCCCTCCCTGCCAGCCCCGCGCAAAAGGCGCATCTGGGCAGAGAGAGCGCCCCAACCCCCTCCTCCTCCCCTCTCTCCCTCTCTCTCTCTCTCGGGCGGGGCCGGAGGGGCGATGACATCACCTCTGCCGGAGCCTGACGCAGCTTCTATTTTTAGGGGGCCAATGGGAAGGGCCCCCGCCGGGGTCACGTGGGCAGCAGGGGCAGGCAGGTGGCTCAGCCGGCGAGCCAGCCAGCGAGCGAGCGCGCGCACGGGAGAGGGGAGGGGGGGGCAGGAGGAGGCGCGTGCACGGCGTCTCCCCGGCTGCTGCTCCGTTGCTGCTGCTGCTGCTGCGACGCCCGCGGGGAGCGAGCAAGGGAGGAAAGCAGGCAAGCAGGCCATGCACCTGCCCGCACCTGCCGGCTAGCCGTCGCCTCTCTCTGTCTCTGTCTCTCTCCGCCCGGGGCTGCAGCTGCTGCAAGGGGGCCCCCCCATGGGAAGGGGCCGGCCCGGGCCCCGCCTGCCTGCTCCCTGCTCGGGGATGATGCCTCCTTGAAGCCAGCAAGCCCGGCCGGGAGGAGGAGGAGGAGAAGAAGCAGCAGCAGCAGCTGAGCCCGCCTTGACCTTGCTCGGGACGCCCGCTTTGCAACCTGTTGGCCGCATCTGCGAGGAGGAGGAAGAAGAAAGAGAGAGGGAGAGAGAGGGGAGGGGGGGTCTCTCCTCTCTGCCGCCAGGCCGCTGCCCAACCGGTGCAGCCCCTCCATCCGTCCCTCCATCCATCCTTCCCTCCTTCCCTCCATCCATCCTTCCCTCCTTCCCTCCATCCATCCTTCCCTCCTTCCCTATTCCTCCATCCATCCATCCATCCATCCTTCCATCCGTCCCTCCATCCATCCATCCATCCATCTTCATTCCTCCATCCATCCCTCCATCCCTCCATCCATCCATCCATCCATCCATCTATCTTCATTCCTCCCTCCATCCCTCCTTCCATCCATCCCTCCATCCCGGAGCACCAGGGGCTTCACTTGACTGGCTGGCACAGGCTTCATTTGCTTCCCCCCCACCTCCTTTTTCAAAGGGTCTCCCTGCAGCAGCAGCAGCCCCCCCCGCTTCCTCTTGACGGGAGGGGGGTCCTGAAATGGATGCCCGGACGGACTGCAGCCACCCCTCCTCCTTTTGATGTGACCCGCTGCTGAGGACTTCCGCTCACCTGCATCCTTTCCTTCCCTCCCCCCCGCCCGCCACAAACACAGACACACCTGAGATTTGGCAAGGAGCCAGACTCTGCGACCTCCCCCTACCCCTCCATCCCTTAACCGGGACAGGTGATGGGGTTCCCGCTGCATCCGGAGGGGATGCCCGGCGCCCCCCTGCGAGATTAAGCCCATCGCCGTGGGTCAAAGCAGACACGGACGGACTGTCCCGCTTAACGACATGGAGACCAAAATCCCGCCGGCCGTCACTCCGACCAGCCCTTCGTCGCCCGGGCTGTCTCCGGTACCGCCGCCGGATAAAGTGGACGGTTTCTCCCGACGGTCGCTACGCCGCTCCCGCCAGAGACGGTCGCACAGTTCTTCCCAGTTCCGATACCAGAGCAATCAGCAGGAGCTGACACCTCTCCCCCTGTTGAAAGGTAGGACTGGGGAGGGGGGGGAGGAGGGGAGGGCTGCCAGGGCTCGGCTGGCCTGCTGGACATCGGACCCCTGCCCCGTGAATTGGGGCTTTTGCCGGATGCCCAGGGTTTAAATTCACCCCCCCCACCCCATTGGGTGCCAGTTTGATGCCAGGCTGGCACGAAAGAGGCGGCTTTGCCAAGCTGTGGGCCGGAGACAGGCCAGACCCAAATAGAAGACAGAGTTGGAAAGGGGACCTCGGAGGTCTTCTAGTCCAACCCCCTGCTCAAAACTATACCGCTTCGCCAAATGAATCCTGCGTTGCCTCTGCAGAACTTGCTCCGATAAACTGTAGTTTTGCTTATTTGTGAGTCCAACTTGAGGGGTAGGAGTAGCTTGTTAAATGATGGCTTGTACCGTGCAGTTTTGGATTGTTTCATACAGTAAAACTCTGGGTAATTTAATTTTTTTTAATATCTTTTATCCTGCCTCTATTGTTTTTAACAAAGAGAAGGCAAGGGGGTTGGAGTAGAAGACCTCCAGGGGTCCTTCACACCTTATTATTCTATGTTTGAAGGCAGCAAATATATCCAATGCTCCTTCTTCCTCCTATTTTCCCCCACAAAACAGCCCTGCAAGGTAGGCTGGTCTGAGAGAGAAGGACTGGTGCAAAGTCACCCAGCTGGCTTTTTGTGCCTAAAGACGGGACTAGAACTCCCTGTCTCCTGGTTTGGCAATAAATAAACCAGAGCCATGCATTGGGGAAATTTAATATATTGGATTTTTATCTTGCTTTTTTTTTACCATATAAGTAACTCAAGGCAGAAACATACCTAATACGGGTAGTTCTTGACTTACAACACTTCGTTTAGTGACCGTTCAAAGTTATAATGGCGCTGAAAAGAGTGACCTAGGACCGTTTTTCACAGTTAGGACCTTTTGCAGCATCCCTGTAGTCATGTGATCAAAATTCAGGCACTTGGTAACCGACTCATATTTATGACGGTTGCAGTATCCCAAAATCACGCCATCCCCCCCCTTTTGCGACCTTCAGACTTCAGCGAAGTCAATGGGGAAGCTTAAGATTCGCTTAACAACCGGGCGACTAACTTATCAGCTGCAGTGATTCACTTAGCGATGGAGGCAAGAAAGGGCGTAAAGTGAGGCAAAGCTTACTTAACAGACGTCTCGGTTAACAACATAAATTTGGGGGGGACAGTTGTGGTCGTAAGTCGAGGACTATCTCTACTCCCTCCTCCTCCCTATCAAAGCCTGACTAAGGTGGCTCAGTGGCTAAGACGCTGAGCTTGTCGATCAGAAAGGTTGGCAGTTCGGCGGTTCGAATCCCTAGTATAGGCCTCCTGCGTGAGCAGGGGGTTGGGCTAGATGACCTCCAAGGTCCCTTTCCAACTCTGTTACTGTTAAGGACCCTGATGGAGATTTCCATTCTGTGTTTTTGTAGCAGAAGTTGGGGAGATTCTCTGACCGTAAAGATGTTACCGGAAGCAGAATCATCTGCGATACGGTGGGTTGAAGGAACCCAACTTCTCTCTTGCCTAAGTGTAGGTAGTCCTCGACTTTCGAGAGCTCGTTTAGTGACCAAAGTTACAACGGCAGTGAAAAAAATGACTTGGGAAGGTTGAATCGACCTTGAGCCGATCAGGATCGAACTGCTGGCAGTGGCCAGAGTTAGCCTGCAATACTGCATTGTAACAGGAAGTAAGGATGGATGGATGGATGGATGGATGGATGGATGGATGAAAAGGAAAGGAAAGGAAAGGAAAGGAAAAGGAAGGAAACAGGATGGATGGATGGATGGATGGATGGATGGAAGGAAGGAAAATAGCAATAGCCCTTAGACTTATATACCGCTTCACAGTGTTTTTAGAGCCCCCTCTAAGCGGTTTACAGAGTCAGCAATTTGCCCCCAACAATCTGGGTCCTCGTTTGACCCACCTCGGAAGGACGGAAGGCTGAGTCAATCTTGTTAAGTCAAACTCATGTAACAATGTTTCACTTAGCAACATAAATTTTGGCCTCAATTGTGGTCGTAACTCGATTAAAGTTTGAGTATTAACTAACCCCGCTGCTAGTCTGCCCTGCAAGTTAACCTCACAAAAAACAAAAAAAAACTTAATAATTTAGTTTTAACAACAGTTACGGTGCCAATTGCTAGGGTTTTTTTTTAAGTGCCTTAGTTAAGTGCGTTCGAATACAGAATCATAGGACTGGGAGGGACCTCAGAGGTCTTCCAGTCCATCCTCCTTGCCTCGTATCGGACAAATGGTTACCCAGTTATTTTTTGAAAAAAAACCCCAGTGATGGAGACCTCACACCTTCTGGTGGCAAGCTGTTCCACTGGTTAATTGTTCTCACTGTCAGGAAATTCCTCCTTAGTTCTAGGTTGCTTCTCTCCTTGATCAGTTTCCATCTGTTGTTTGTTCGCCTGCCTTCTGGTGCTTCGTAGAATTGGTGGATCCCCTCTTCTCTGTGAGAGCCCCTCAAATACTGGAAGATGCTCTCCTGTCTCCCCTGGTCCTTCTCTTCACCAGACTAGACATACCCAGTTCCTGCAACCGTTCATCGTATGTTTTCGCCTCCAGTCATGGGACCAATCATCCTGGTTGCTCTTCTCTGCACTCTTTCCAGAGTTTTAAAATCTTTGTTGTGTGAACCGACCAAGCTGGGGCTCAGATTCAGCTAGTAGAAGAGAAATTTTGAGGAAGGCAGCCATAAAGCCCCTGAAATCTGGCTTTGGATATCTTCATTCTTAGTTTTGCCTACAAGGGCTAGCTTCGCACAACACAGTAGTCTAGTGCAGGGGTCTCCAACCTTGGCAACTTTAAGACTTGTGGACTTCAACTCCCAGAATTGGAGACCCCTGCACTAGACCACTGTTTCTTACTTCAGCTGCTTTACCCTAACCCTAACTCTATCCATCTATCCCTTGATTCATCCATCCATCCCTCCATCCATTCTTGTTTCTCAAACTTGACAACTTTTAGGATGTGTGGACTTCAACTCCCAGAATTCCCCAGCCAGCATGTTGAGAAGCATTGATCTAACTCTATCCCTCCCTTCATCCATCCATCCATCCATCCATCCATCAATCCCTTCCTTCATCATTCAATCCATCTATCCATCCATCCATCCCTCCATCCATTCTTGTTTCTCAAACTTGACAACTTTAGGATGTGTGGACTTCAACTCCCAGAATTCCCCAGCCAGCATGTTGAGAAACACTGATCTAACTCTACCCCTTCCTTCATCCATCCAACTATCAATCCCTTCCTTCATCATTCAGTCCATCCATCCATCCATCTATTCTTGTTTCTCAAACTTGACAATTTTCAAGATCTGTGGACTTCCAAGTCCCAGAATTCCCCAGCCAGCATGTTGAGAAGCACTTTAGTAACTCCACCCATCCATCCATCCATCCATCCATCCATCCATCCATCCATCCTTGTTTCTCAAACTTGACAACTTTAGGATGTGTGGACTTAAACTCCCAGAATTCCCCAGCCAGCATGTTGAGAAGCACTGATCTAACTCTATCCCTTCCTCCCTTCCTCTACCCACCCACCCATCCATCTATCCATTCCTTCATCCATCCCTCCATCCATTCTTGTTTCTCAAACTTCACAACTTTAGGATGTGTGTACTTCAACTCCCAGAATTCCCCAGCCAGCATGTTGAGAAGCACTTTAGTAACTCCACCCATCCATCCATCCATCCATCCATCCATCCATCCATCCTTGTTTCTCAAACTTGACAACTTTAGGATGTGTGGACTTAAACTCCCAGAATTCCCCAGCCAGCATGTTGAGAAGCACTGATCTAACTCTATCCCTTCCTCCCTTCCTCTACCCACCCACCCATCCATCTATCCATTCCTTCATCCATCCCTCCATCCATTCTTGTTTCTCAAACTTCACAACTTTAGGATGTGTGTACTTCAACTCCCAGAATTCCCCAGCCAGCATGTTGAGAAGCATTGATCTAACTCTACCCCTCCCTCCCTCCCCCATCCATCCATCCATCCCTTCCTTCATCATTCAATCCATCCATCCTTGTTTCTCAAACTTGACAACTTGAGGATGTGTGGACTTAAACTCCCAGGATTCCCCAGCCAGCATATTGAGAAGCACTGATCTAACTCTATCCCTCCCTCCCTTCCTCCCTTCCTCTACCCACCCACCCATCCATCCATTTATCTATCCATTCCTTCATCCATCCATCCATCCATCCATTCTTGTTTCTCAAACTTGACAACTTGAGGATGTGTGGACTTCAACTCCCAGAATTCCCTAGCCAGCACATTGAGAAGCACAGATCTAACTCCAGCCAGCCAGCCAGCTAGCATGGCTGGCTGGGGAATTCTGGGAGTTGAAGTTCCGCAAGTCTTAAAAGTTGCCAAAGTTGAAGACCCCTAGTCTAGGTTCAAATGAATTTGGACGTTTTGTGGTCCAATGCGTTGTAGGAAGCCTAACCCATTGATTTGGCCCACTGTGTGAAACAGCCATCCGCTTATTAGGCCATAAAATAATATAGGTATGGTTTGTTATGAATGCAGCAATTGTGGTAGCGCGTTCTGTGAATGCAGTCAGGAAAAGATGTTGAGAAAGTGCCTGATTTATCGGAGAGTCCAGAAACCTGCTGCCAGTTGAGGAGACACCTTGGGTTGGCCTGGAGTTGATAACACAACTTTGTTCTTGAAATTAGTGAGCGCCGTAAAAGATTAGGAGGAGGACTCGATATGGTCTCCGTGAAAAGGATGAGCCGGTTAAATAGGTGACAAGGATAATCCTCCTCATCGTGCGGCTCTCGTGAGTGGATAATTTTATTGGGTATTTATTTTCTTGACTTGGTGACTTGGTTTAAGGCAGCTCCCTGGGTCACAATCTTGAGAAGGTGGGTAAGAGAGGAGGAGATGGCTGAGAAATCTTGGGTCAGAGGTCGGATCCTGGGGGGAAAAAAAACTTAAATTATAGGAGTGTTTGTAGGAACGGGTCTTGCATGT